ACAGCAATAAAGGTGAAGAATAAGAAGAAAGGAGAACAGCAATAAAGGAGAAGAATAAGAAAGGAGAACACCAACAATAAAGGAGAAGAATAAGAAGAAAGGCAGAGAAGAAGAAAGCAACTGCAGTAATAGCAGGCATCGGTGAAGCAACACAAGTAATTGGGAGGAGAGGGAATCTTTAAGTAAACTGCAAATATCCTGAAGACGAGAAGAACAAGATGTTGATATATAACTAGAAGACATCTTGGCTGGACTCTGGCCACAGGGCATACACCGAGGGGTGTATTTCTCTTGACACTTTTTATGCTCGGAGTTTATTCCTTAATTTAGGGATTAAAGTATACTGTATTCTTGTCTGGTGGTGAAAAGGTTATGTGCAACCTTAATGACTCTAGTGTAGTCATTTTATTGGGGTTTTTAGCCTGAAGGTTAGCCACTCAGGCAGCACACTCAGCTACCATTCTCAGTGTTCATGGTTCAAGCCCCGGCATGGTTGGGAACAGTAGGTGACTTGGACCTGCCTAGCATGGGCCTGTAGGCTTGCTGCAGTGCTCCTTCTTATGTTCTTATGATATGCATGTTTCCTTATGCCTGTTGTCCCTGTTCATCTAGCAGTAAGTAGGTACCTGGGTGTTAGTCTCCTGGTGTGGGTATCATCCTGGGGAACAAGCTTAAAGGGCCCCTGTGGAAATAAGACAGACAGTCCTCAGTGATGCACTGACTGTATTAGATTATCCTGGGTATTATTAACCCTATGGGTTAATAATTATTAACCCTGTTTACCTGGAGAGAGTTAAACTCCAGGTAAACAGGGTTAATAATTATTAACCCATAGGGTTAATTAACCCATAGGGTTAATAATCCCAACAAAATCTTCAATCCAATTAGTTCTTCATGGTAAGTCAAGCTAAACAAGTGTAAGTAAATATAATGTTTAGGTAAATACTGTTTTTTTTATGGGCATTAAATCCCCATTGATTATACATTGACTTGCAGAACAACAAATTTATGTCTCACACTTTTTTTGCTAGTAGTTTAATTTCATCTCAAGGAAGGTGCCTTGATGCAGGTGAAGGGCACTTAATTCGAGGAAATAAGACCTGTCCTCCCCTTCCTTGGATCAAACCTGATTACCTTCCATTTTCCAGGTGTTATATATGACCTATACAAATTTAGTGCTTCCCGTGAATACAATAATAAAAATAATATACATAGTTGAATATGTGGATGTATTAAAATATTTACCAGGAGGGCACCTGCATTGGTGAACTTATGACATATGACATAAAATATGTTCTGAACTTTTGTCTATGATATGCAGTACTGTCTTTCATTTACCTTTCCTATTACTTGCATAAGGAATGCTCTTTGAATAAATTACAGTACTAATAGATTTTGAACTTAATAATTCATATGTAAGTAGACATACAGCATAGTACAGTATATTAAGGTTTCTGCTATAGCCCTGGGGGCATGCAGATATCTTGCTCTGCTTTGAGCATTGGCAACAACTTTTCTCCATTCTGTTTTTACTTTGTTGGTCAGGCATGTTGGGGGGGGTGCTATTCAACTCATTTTTTCTGTTCTGTAGCTCTGCTAATGCTGGATAAAGGGGAAAAGGATGCGAGTCATTGACTCGAGTAGAGTGTGTGTTTTGCCCTGCCAAGGTTTAGGCTTTACTTGGTAATTCTGGTATTGCAGCTCATGATTCTTTAATGATAATGCTCATTTTTATTTTTTACTTTCAGCATCATGATAAATTTACAATATCTCCCTCCACCACCTGCATGTGGACTTATAACAGCATATGAAAATGATGGCCGTCTTCGTGCACTAGGCAGCAGGGAGGCGCTCGCCACTACTAGGAACTGGGTCAGTATTCTACTTTTATTTGCACATGAATACTTTACAAACAAATTAATATGTTGCTGTTTTGTATTGCAGTAAAATATGTACAGTAATCTCTTGGTATTTTTGACTGCCATTTGCTATATCTTGCATCTAGAACTCAAGTTCCACTTCTTCTTATGTACATATATGTAAGTTCAACATCCACAAAATCCACTGGAAGATTACAGTTGAAATTAATAATTAAGTTGAAATTAATAATTTTCGTGTGTTGATAATACTGTACTGTACTACTTAAGAAATTAGTTAATTTCCTTATGAAGCATTAACATACATAGGAGTCTTATTGTGATGTTGTTGCTCATTCTTTGTGTATAAGCTTGGTGGACAGTTTATTGAAGTAATGGTTGGGCAGGAGCCAGTTAGAACAGCACACAGTAAACAAGAGGCCCGGGAAGCCTTTTCAGCTCACACAGAGACTTCTTGGCAACGTGTTATGTTTGCATAGTAAGTAATGAACAAAACAGATTAAATTTTCCTTGGTAGGTTTAATAGAGCACAAAGTGCTGACAAGTACCATAGATGTTTCCATATTTGCTATAATTGGTTATCAAAATTGTATAATTTGCAGCTTTGGATCTCCACTAGGAACTCTCAGTTAACATTGTTCACTATTTGCTGTGTATTTTAATTGAATATTTTATACAGTGTGTTACCTTAAGTCACTTTTTGAAATTTGTGCTGTACTCCTTAAAATTCGGTATAAAGTATCTAAAAGTTTGTCAAATAAAATCTAGCTACAGTTAAGGCTAGGAAGAAGCTTGCATAGTTTATTATATTGTATTTCATTTACATTTCATAGTATGAACAAAAAAAATTAGAATACTGTACCTTTCATTTATTTTAAGAGATTTTTCTTCTATAAAGATTGCCACAAATATACTTCTAGCTTTACATTAATTAATTTTTAGAATGTTGACAGATCCATGATAAAGCAGATTATAATTCTTTATATTTGGCCAGTATCAAATAACGTAGCTTGATACATTGTTGTTGTGAGGCATTACCCTGGTTTGGTAGGTTTCACAATATTTCAAAGCTTTCTTTCAATGTTCAGTTATGAGGAGGGCTGGGAGGCTTCCCTAGAGGAGATGATCAAGGGCAAAGATGAAGGTAGTCTCTATCAAGTGGCATCCACTGTGGCTTCCTTTATACTTAAAGTGTGTGGCTTCATTGCTAGAGCACAGGCACTCCTACCATCACCCAAGAATACTGTGAGCTCTCCAATAACTCCCCTTGGTAAGACAACACTTTTTACTTATCTTGCCCCACAGGGAAGGGGGGGGGGTGGCTTTATGCTGGTGAAGGTCTCTTGATCTGTAGAGTTATAGCTGTCATCTTAATTTTTAACAATTCCCCAGGTATTATATGACCCTTGTGGGTTTAGTGCTTCATGATTATAATTAGGTACCTGAATTGCATGTAAATGTTGAAAACCTTACATGTGTATGTACACATTATTTTTTTTTTTTTTTCAACAAACTGGCCATATCCCACTGAGGCAGGATGACCTAAAAAGAAAAATGCAAGTTTCTCTTTTTAAATTTAGTAATGTATACAGGAGAAGGGGTTACTAGCCTCTTGCTTACGGCATTTTAGTTGCCCCTTTTGACACGCATGACTTTTGGAGGAAGAATTCTGTTCCACTTCCCCATGGAGGTATACATTATTTTTTTTCAACATGCTGGCTTTCTCCCACCAAGGTAAGGTGACCCAAAAAAGAAAGAAACACTATCACCATCATTCACACATAATCACTGCCTTTGCAGAGGTGCCCACATATGACAGTTTAGATGTCACTCCAAACAGCCAGTATCCCAAACCCCTCCTTTATTTATGCAATATTAAATTGCTAATACTTTTATAAAGTATAATAAAGTATATAACCCCTTCTCTTGTATAAATTACTAAATTTAAAAAGAGAAACTTCTTTTTTTCCTTTTGGGCCACCCTTCCTCTGTGGGATACAGCCTGTTTGTTGAAAGGAGAAGAATAAAGTACTGTATGCCATGATACATCATTATAACTTGCTCATAATACTCTGACTAATTGCCTTTTTCTACTTCCTCAATTACAACAGCTGTGCGTGGATCAGGTGGTAGTGTTGTGAGTGTAGCTTGGCATCCCCACACCAACACCTTAGCTGCTGTCTTTTGTGACGACACCATAAGAATATTTGCTGCTGGTCGAAGTATCAGCCCTCTTCTGAAACATCGCCTCCAGAAATCCATCATGCACATTGCTTGGATGCAAGTACAAATCTTTTAAAAATCTCATCAATTAACATAAAATATTTGTTGGGTATTTATGAAACAAGATTTTTTCACATTGTCTGTAGTATTTGAAGTTATTGCAAACTGAGGTTCGTACATTATTCATATTTTTTTGTTGATTTACTTGTGGATGCTAAATTTTCTACCCGGTAGTGTGCATTGCAGAAACACCTCTAAAACAACAAAATTTCATCAGAATTTCAAATGTTTATTGATAACAGTTGCACTCCCATATTGTGGGTGGTTACCTTAGGCCGCTACTGGTCACTGTGAATTCTTAGTCTGCAAATACTGTACCAATAATTTCTGTCTATATGATAGTTCTTTTTCACATTTGGATTCATTTTGCATTTCAGAGGCCTCTTGCTTTAACTTAATTAACTTTGGCATTGATTAAAAAAAATCTGACCAAAAGGAGAAGTGATTTGGATGTGGGGAAAATCCAATGTGCATATTTTGATCAAAGGCTTATTTTAACCTATTTGGAACTAATGTGTCCTTAGCAACTTGGAAAAGTTTTTGCCATACACTTTCTTGCTCTCTGGAGGTGTGTTTCTGATCCCTTCTTCTTTCAACAAACTGGCCATATCCCACCAAAGCAGGGTAGCCCAAAAAGAAAAACAAAAGTTTCTCTTTTTAACTTAAATAATATGGTATACAGGAGAATGGGTTACTAGCCTCTTGCTCCTGGCATTTTAGTCGCCTCTTATGACACACATGGCTTACAGAGGAAGAATTCTCTTCCACTTCCCCATGGAGATAAGAGGAAATAAACAAGGACAAGAGCTAGTAAGAAAAATAGAAGAAAACCCAGAGGGGTGTGTGTATATACGTATATGCTTTTACATGCATGTGTAGTGTGACCTAAGTGTAAGTAATGGTAGCAAGACATACCTGAAAGCTTTTATGTTTATGAGACAGAAAAAAGACACCAGCAATCCTGCCATCATGTAAAACAGTTAAAGGCTTCCATTTTACACTCACTTTGCAGGACTGTAGTACCTCCCTGGGCAGCTGCTGTCTACTAACCTACTACCTTGGTGTGTTTCTGATACTGTATATTTATATTTGTCCTGCAAGATTTCAGGTACGTCTTGCTACTTCTACTTACACTTAGGTCACACTACACATGCATGTACAAGCATATATATACACACCCCTCTGGGTTTTCTTCTATTTTCTTACTAGTTCTTGTTTGTTTCCTCTTATCTCCATGGGGAAGTGGAACAGAATTCTTCCTCCGCAAGCCATGCACATTGTAAGAGGCGACTAAAATGCTAGGAGCAAGGGGCTAGTAACCTCTTCTGTATATCTTACTAAATGTAAAAGGAGAAACTTTCGTTTTTCCTTTTGGGCCACCCTGCCTTGGTGGGATACGGCCGGTGTGTTGAAAGAAGAAAGATTTATATTTGTGCAGTAGGGTTCTGAAGGTCCACTGGGATTATAACCATCTCTCTTTCATTTACCCTATTTGGGAAGACTCTTCTGTTCAGGCTACCAGCACATTCCTTAACCATGTTTGAGAATCAATCCTTGCTGTCCCTGTCTCTGTTTCCTTCAGAATGAGTACACTGCTTCTTCTCTTCAACCAGCTTTGCCCTGGGAGGAATTGTTCCAAAGTTGGCCCCTACAATACCGGGGGTTTGTTAGCTATTCCCCTTGTGTTTGGTTCCACATTATTTCTGGGAAATGCAGCTGCCATCAGTAAATTAACTTTGATACATACGTACTTCTGTTTGTGGCCCCCTGGGTTTTTTTTGGAATATCAAGAAATTTTCCCGGGTACTTGCACTTTGACCCCGGTGCATGGTTTGCCCGGGCCCCACAAAACAAGATCCCCTGCAACCCTTTCCCGGGCCAAACAACTGTTAGACCCCAGGAGAAATCAGGTCTTTATGGTTGCTGATGCATCTCCATTCAGGGTTTTTCTTGTTTGGTGTTTTTGGGTATGTTCTATAAATCTAGGGCCCACTGTAAAAGAAAAAAAAATGGGATAATAAAAAGCTTTGTGTCGAAGTTGATGACTCTGGAAATTCCATTTTTAATCTGTTCTGCCGGTTGTAAATGGTAGGTCAGTGTGTGTTTACAAAAGGAAATTTTAAACTGAGAATGTGGACCCATCATTATTGGAGCTAAAGAATGTTTGAAAAGGTGGATCATAATGGCTATGTTTCTAGATATCATTAGACCTGGTTTCAAGCTGTATTTTTTACCCTTTTAAAAAATTTTTAAATTTTATGCTTATTTTCAAGTGCCATACTTACAGTTTTTTCCTGTCTTATTTAATTTTTTGCGTAACTATTTTTTTCCCATCCTACTGAAATTTCTTTAAATTTTCTCGTTTAAATATTAAATTTTTACAAAAAATTTGAATAGCAAAAAATTTTATATATATTTTTTAATTTAATATATTTTATCAAAAATTTTGTTGAAAATAAGAAAAAGTTTTGGAGTAAATTTTAACAATTTAAGAAACCAAGAGAAAAATTGATTTTCATTAAAAATAGGGAGGGAGAGTTTTTTAAGGAGGTTAGAGGTTTGGGAAGTTTTGGAAAAGGAATTTTTGGGAAAATTTTTAAAATGTTGATAAAGATGGGAAGCTGGGGGATTTCGTGTATAGGGAAAGGGAGGAAAAATTTGTGGGGTGAGGGAAGAGCCAGTTGTGGTGTGGGGGAAGTTCGTGAGGCAGTGGGAAAAATAAAAGGGGGTAAAGGCACCGGGTTGATGGGATAAAATGAAATTTTTTTAAAAGAGGGGGGGTTTAAGTTTTGGATGGTTGGTGAAATTATTTAAAAAAGTATGGAAGAGGGAAAGGGTCCCTAGGTTTGGCAGAGGCATGCATATTTCCCTTTGTATAAAGGAAAAGGGGGAAAAAAGAGAGTGCAAAAATTATAGGGGGAAAGTCTGTTGAGTGTACCTGGAAAAAGTGTATGTAGATTTAAAATTTAAAAGAATTAAGAGAAAGAGGGGAGAATAGGTAGCAGAGAGCAAGGGCTTTGGAAAGGTTTGGGGGGTTGTGGACCGGGTGTTTACAGTGAAACTAAAAAGTAACAGTTTTTAAAAGGCTAAAGGGTCTTTGTGGCATTTATGGATTTGGAAAAGGGTATGAAGGGGGGAGGGGGGGCAATGTGGCAGTTTGGCAAGTGTATGGTGTAGAGGTAGGTTACTGAAAGAGTGAAGGTTTTACGGGATGTGAGGCTCAAGTTGAGTATGTAGAAAGAGGGAAAATTTTTTTCCCAGTAAAAGTGGCCTTGCAAGGTTTTTTGATGCCCCGGGGTTTTTTTTATTTTTATAGATGGGGTTGTAAGAGAAGTAAAAGCGAGGGTTTGGAAGAGGCGTGGAGTTAAAAGATAAAAATCACACACAAAGGGGGGAGTTGTCACAGTCCCTTTTTGTGATGACCTGTGCCTTGGGAGATTTAAAGAGAAGTTGCAGAGATTGGGTGGATGATTTGGTAGGGGTGTGCAAAAGAAAAAAAATTAAAGGTGAAACAGGAAAGAGTAAGGTTATGGGGTAACAAAAAGATTAGGTGTAAAAAGATTGAATATCAATTGGAGGGAGAGATATGGAGAGGTAACGTTTCAGATATTTGGGAGTGGACGTGTCAGCGGATGGGTCTAGAAAGATGAGGTGAATCATAGAATTGAGAGGGAAAAAGGGAGTGTTGCACTGGAGTCTGTGGAGACAAAGAACTTGTCCTTGAGGCAAAGGGGAATGTTAGAGTATAGTTTTACCAAGGGCTTTTTTATGGGTGTGAAGCGTGGGTGATGAATGTTGCAGCGAGGAAAGCGGGAGGCAGTGGAGGGGTCTGTTGGGGCAATGTGTGGGGTTAGAATTTTTAATGCAGAAAATTCGTAGTTTGGAAGTTAGGAGGAGGTGCGGGATTACCAAAACTGTTGTCCAGAGGCTGAGGAAGGTTGTTGAGGGTTCGGACATGTAGAGGAATGGAGCGAAAGAATGACTTCAAGAGTGTATCTCTGTAGTGGAAGAGGCGGGGTAGGGTCGGCCTAGGAAGGGTTGGAGGAGGGGTAAGGAGGTTTTTGTGTGCGAGGGCTTGGACTTCCAGCAGCATGCGTGAGCGTTTTTTGATAGGGTAATGGAGACAAAGGGTTTTTTAAATACGGGAGTGCTGTTGGAGTGTGACAAAGTAACAATTTATAAAGGGGATTCAGGGAAAGGAGGCGGACTTGATTCTGGAGAGGGAAGTAAAGTCCCCTGACCCCCCCTAAAGGGGGGGGTGTTAATGTTGCAGTTTAAAAACTGAGTGTAAAGCCCTTTTGGGCAAGACAGTGATGAGTGATGATGGTGAAAGTTTTTTTTTTTCGGGCCACCTGCCTTGGTGTAAATTTCGGCGGTGGAAAAAAAAAAAAAATTTAATAAAAAAATATATATATATATATTTTTTTTTTAAACAAGTCGGGCCGTCTCCCCCGAGGCAGGGTGACCCAAAAAAGAAAGAAAAATCCCCAAAAAGAAAATACTTTAATCATCATTCAACACTTTCACCTCACTCACACATAATCACTGTTTTTGCAGAGGTGATCAGAATACAACAGTTTAGAAGCATATATGTATAAAGATACACAACATATCCTTCCAAACTGCTAATATCCCAAACCCCTCCTTTAAGGTGCAGGCATTGTACTTCCCATTTCCAGGACTCAAGTCCAGCTATATAAAAATAACCAGTTTCCCTGAATCCTTTCACTAAATATTACCCTGCTCACACTCCAACAGCTCGTCATGTCCCAAATACCATTCGTCTCCATTCACTCCTATCTAACACACTCACGCATGCTTGCTGGAAGTCCAAGCCCCTTTATTTAATATACAAGTACTAACTCTCATTGTTAAAATTTGTATGTCTGTGAATGTTTGATGTAAGTAACTTTTTATTTCTCAGGCCATATTCAGCCTCACTTTTGGCTGTAGGCTGTGAGTGTGGTATACTGCTGTGGACACTAGACCCAGTGAATGTTGTAACTCGCCCCTCTGGCTCCTGTGTCTCACTCCTGGCTTATCCTAGTGCAACTCCAATCAACTCCCTCACCTGGCATCCCAAGGTCTGTGTCAGTAATTAAGTTTCAACTTATATTTAATTAGCTATCACTGCAAACATTATTGTGAGCTGAGTATTTTTCTTCCATTTTGTCTTTTGACTTTAATTACTTTGTTACGGGTTTATTGGTTGCACAATTAATACTTTTGCATTCATGAGTACATATATAATCTCACCCTCTCAAGTGAGGCAGGCACAAGGCAAGGTGACCTGAAAAAAGAAGAAACAAAAGTTTTTCTTTTAACATTTAGTAATACAGTACATTATATGCCATATATCAAATCAAAGCAATAATTAGGCAAATTTGATAGATCTTTGGATGTACAGTTTACACTTATTTGTTTAATGGCTATTGCATTTTAGGGTGTACCTTTTTCAATTATTTGTATAAAGTTTATCTTATTGTAGGGCAATTTGCTAGCATGTGTTGGAGGCAGTAGCAGTCAGCTGATTGTGTGGGATGTGGGACGTGAGGTACCAGTCGTGGTCCACAGTGGGACGGGCGGCAGCATCTCTCTGGTACTTTGGTCTCCAAATAGTTCAAGACTTTTTGTTGCTTACTCCTCCAAGATAATGAGGTAATGGAATTTTACTGTGTGTGCTGCTTGATTTGAATTGTAGTTTAATTTGTCTGCATTTATCATGTCCTCTCAGCACTGCAGAGGCTCTAACACAAAAATATTATACTAAATCATTTTCGTTCTCCTATGTTAAGGTTATTTATGTGCTTTATCAATTGTATCTTTCACTCACCTATGCACTTCCTCACTTAGTCTTTACTTCTGCATTGAGTTTTCTTAGGTTAATACACTTTCTTGTCTGTAAACTTAACAAATATTAATTAGGTAGTTTTAGACCATTATGTGCAGAGGCAAATAATGGTCTATAAACTGCACCCCACTATTTTTTTACTAAGCAAGTTACAGCAGCATTGATTTATTTACAATTTATTGAGCATTATGTAATGTAAGGGTTTGTTTATGCAGTTCTGTTTGATTAGATAAATTATTTTTTTTTTATTATCACACTGGCCGATTCCCACCAAGGCAGGGTGGCCCGAAAAAGAAAAACTTTCACCATCATTCACTCCATCACTGTCTTGCCAGAAGGGTGCTTTACACTACAGTTTTTAAACTGCAACATTAACACCCCTCCTTCAGAGTGCAGGCACTGTACTTCCCATCTCCAGGACTCAAGTCCGGCCTGCCGGTTTCCCTGAATCCCTTCATAAATGTTACTTTGCTCACACTCCAACAGCACGTCAAGTATTAAAAACCATTTGTCTCTTCACTCCTATCAAACACCGCTCAGCCATGCCTGCTGGAAGTCCAAGCCCTCGCACACAAAACCTCTTTACCCCCTCCCTCCAACCCTTCCTAGGCCGACCCCTACCCCGCCTTCCTTCACTACAGACTGTACACTCTTGAAGTCTTTCTGTTTCGCTCCATTCTCTCTACATGTCCGATCCACCTCAACAACCCTTCCTCAGCCCCTGGACAACAGTTTTGGTAATCCCGCACCTCCTCCTAACTTCCAAACTACGAATTCTCTGCATTATATTCACACCACACATTGCCTCAGACCATGACATCTCCACTGCCTCCAGCCTTCTCCTCGCTGCAACATTCATCACCCACGCTTCACACCCATATAAGAGCGTTGGTAAAACATACTCTCATACATTCCCCTCTTTGCCTCCAAGGACAAAGTTCTTTGTCTCCACAGACTCCTAAGTGCACCACTCACTTTTTTCCCTCATCAATTCTATGATTCACCTCATCTTTCATAGACCCATCCGCTGACACGTCCACTCCCAAATATCTGAATACGTTCACCTCCTCCATACTCTCTCCCTCCAATCTGATATTCAATCTTTCATCACCTAATCTTTTGTTATCCTCATAACCTTACTCTTTCCTGTATTCACCTTTAATTTTCTTCTTTTGCACACCTACCAAATTCATCCACAATCTCTGCAACTTCTCTTCAGAATCTCCCAAGAGCACAGTGTCATCAGCAAAGAGCAGCTGTGACAACTCCCACTTTGTGTGTGATTCTTTATCTTTTAACTCCACCCCTCTTGCCAAGACCCTCGCATTTTACTTTCTTTACAACCCATCTATAAATATATTAACAACCACGGTGACATCACACATCCTTGTCTAAGGCCTACTTTTATGGGAAAAAATTTCCTCTTTCCTACATACTCTAACTTGAGCCTCACTATCCTCGTAAAAAACTCTTCACTGCTTTCAGTAACCTACCTCCTTACACCATACACTTGCAACATCTGCCACATTGCCCCCCTATCCACCCTGTCATACGCCTTTTCCAAATCCATAAATGCCACAAAGACCTCTTTAGCCTTATCTAAATACTGTTCACTTATATGTTTCACTGTAAACACCTGGTCCACACACCCCCTACCTTTCCTAAAGCCTCCTTGTTCATCTGCCTATCCTATTCTCCGTCTTCTCTTAATTCTTTCAATTATAACTCTACCATACACTTTACCAGGTACACTCAACACTTATCCCCCTATAATTTTTGCACTCTCTTTTATCCCCTTTGCCTTTATACAAAGGAACTATGCATGCTCTCTGCCAATCCCTAGGTACCTTACCCCCTTCCCTACATTTATTAAATAATTGCACCCAACCACTCCAAAACTATATCCCCACCTGCTTTTAACATTTCTATCTTTATCCCATCAATCCCGGCTGCCTTACCCCCTTTCATTTTACCTACTGCCTCACGAACTTCCCCCACACTCACAACTGGCTCTTCCTCACTCCTACAAGATGTTATTCCTCCTTGCCCTATACACGAAATCACAGCTTCCCTATCTTCATCAACATTTAACAATTCCTCAAAATATTCCCTCCATCTTCCCAATACCTCTAACTCTCCATTTAATAACTCTCCTCTCCTATTTTTAACTGACAAATCCATTTGTTCTCTAGGCTTTCTTAACTTGTTAATCTCACTCCAAAACTTTTTCTTATTTTCAACAAAATTTGTTGATAACATCTCACCCACTTCTCTCATTTGCTCTCTTTTTACATTGCTTCACCACTCTCTTTAACTTCTCTCTTTTTCTCCATATACTCTTCCTCCTTGCATCACTTCTGCTTTGTAAAAACTTCTCATATGCTAACTTTTTCTCCTTACTACTCTCTTTACAATCATCTTTCCCACCAATCGCTCTCTTCCTCCTGCACCCCACTTTCTGTAACCACAAACTTCTGCTGAACACTCAACACTACATTTTTAAACCTCCCCCATACCTCTTCGACCCATTGCCTATGCTCTCATTAGCCCATCTATCCTCCAATAGCTGTTTATATCTTACCCTAACTGCCTCCTCTTTTAGTTTATAAACCTTCACCTCTCTCTTCCCTGATGCTTCTATTCTCCTTGTATCCCATCTACCTTTTACTTCAAGTGTAGCTACAACTAGAAAGTGATCTGATATATCTGTGGCCCCTCTATAAACATGTACATCCTGAAGTCTACTCAACAGTCTTTTATCTACCAATTTCATAATCCAACAAACTACTGTCATTTCGCCCTACATCATATCGTGTATACTTATTTATCCTCTTTTTCTTAAAATATGTATTACCTATAACTAAACCCCTTTCTATACAAAGTTCAATCAAAGGGCTCCCATTATCATTTACACTGGCACCCCAAATTTACCTACCACACCCTCTCTAAAGTTTCTCCTACTTTAGCATTCAAGTCCCCTACCACAATTACTCTCTCACTTGGTTCAAAGGCTCCTATACATTCACTTAACATCTCCCAAAACTCTCTCTCTCCTCCTCTGCATTCCTCTCTTCTCTCAGGTGCATACACGCTTATTATGACCCACTTCTCGCATCCAACCTTTACTTTAATCCACATAATTCTTGAATTTACACATTCATATTCTCTTTTCTCCTTCCATAACTGATCATTTAACATTACTGCTACCCCTTCCTTTGCTCTAACTCTCTCAGATACTCCAGATTTAATCCCATTTATTTCCCCCCACTGAAACTCTCCTACCCCCTTCAGCTTTGTTTCGCTTAGGGCCAGGACATCCAACTTCTTTTCATTCATAACATCAGCAATCATCTGTTTCTTGTCATCCGCACTACATCCACGCACATTTAAGCAAGTGGGTTATAGTAAGCATATATGCACCTGGAGAAGAGAGAAGTGTAGAGGAGAGAGAGAGAGAGAGGATTTTGGGAAATGCTGAGTGAATGTGTGGAGAGTTTTGAACCAAGTATGAGAGTATTGGTGGTTGGGGATTTCAATGCTAAAGTGGGCAAAAATGTGGAGGGAGTAGTAGGTAAATTTGGGGTGCCAGAGGTAAATGAAAATGGGGAGCCTTTAATTGAGCTATGTGTAGAAAGAGGTTTGGTAATAAGTAATACATATTTTATGAAGAAGAGGATAAATAAGTATACAACGTATGATATAGCACATAATGAAAGTAGTTTGTTAGATTATGTATTGTGGGTAAAAGGTTGATGGGTAGGCTTCAGGATGTGTGTGTTTATAGAGGGGCAACTGATATATCGGATCATTATTGAGTCGTAGTTACGGTTAGAGTAAGAGGTAGATGGGACAATAGGAAAATGGCAACAGCAAGTAAGAGTGAGGTGAAAGTGTATAAATGGAGAGAGGAGGAAGTTAGTGTGAGATATAAGCAGCTATTGGCAGAAAGGTGGACTAGTGCAAGTATGAGTAGTGGGGGGGTTAAGAGGGTTGGAATAGTTTTAAAAATGCAGTATTAGAATGTGGGGCAGAAGTCTGTGGCTATAGGAGGGTGGATGCGTGAGGAAAGAGGAGTGGTAGAATGACGAAGTAAAGGGTGTGATAAAAGATAAAAAGGTAGCTTATGAGAGGTTTTTACAAAGCAGAAGTGTTATAAGAAGAGCAGAGTATATGGATAGTAAAAGAAAAGTGAAGAGAGTGGTGAGAAAGTGCAAGAGGAGAGCAGATGATAGAGTGGGTGCAGTACTGTCTAGAAATTTTGATGAAAATAAGAAAAAATTTTGGGGTGAGATAAACAAGTTAATGAAAATCTAGGGAACGAATGGATTTGTCAGTTAAAAACAGTAGGGGAGTTAGTAGATGGGGAGCTGGAGGTATTGAGTAGATGCCGGGAATATTTTGAGGAACTTTTAAATCGATGAAGAAAGCGAGGCGGTAATTTCATGCACTGGCCAGGGAGATAAAACATCTTTTAGGAGTGAAGAAGAGCAGGATGTGAGTGTGGGGGAGGTGCGTGAGGCATGATGTAGAATGAAAGGGGATAAAGCAGCTGGAACTGACGAGATCATGACAGAAATGTTAAAAGCAAGGGGGGGGGGATATAGTGTTGGAGTGGTTGGTATATATGTTTAATAAATGTATGAAACCTAGGTAGTAGGTTGGTAGACAGCAGCCGCCCAGGGAGGTACTACCGTCCTGCCAAGTGAGTGTAAAACGATAATTGTTTTACATGATGGTAGGATTGCTGGTGTCTTTTGTCTGTCTCGTAAACATGCAAGATTTCAGGTACGTCTTGCTACTTCTACTTACACTTAGGTCACACTACACATACATGTACAAGCATATACATACACGTACACCCCTCTGGGTTTTCTTCTATTTTCTTTCTAGCTCTTGTTCCTGTTTATTTCCTCTTATCTCCATGGGGAAGTGGAACAGAATTCTTCCTCCGTAAGCCATGCGTGTTGTAAGAGGCGACTAAAATGCCGGAAGCAAGGGGCTAGTAACCCCTTCTCCTGTATAAATTACTAAATTTAAAAAGAGAAACTTTCGTTTTTCTTTTTGGGCCTCCCTGCCTTGGTGTGATACGGCCGGTTTGTTAAAAAAAAAAAAAAAAAAAAGGTTACTGAGTATACCAGGAATAGTGTACGGTAGGGTTATTATTGAGAGAATTAGAGGTAAGACAGAGAGTAGGATTGCAGATGAGCAAGGAGGCTTTAGAGTGGGAAGGGGATGTGTAGATCAAGTGTTTACATTGAAGCATATATGTGAACAGTAATTAGATAAAGATAGGAAGTTTTCATTGCCTTTATGGATTTAGAAATGGCATATGATTGAGTGGATAGGGGAGCAATGTGGCAGATATTGCAAGTGTATGGAATAGGTAGTAAGTTACTAAATCCTGTAAAGAAATTTTATGAGGATAGGCTCAGGGTAGGGTGTGTAGGAGAGAGGGAGACTACTTCCCTGTAAAAGTAGGTCTTAGACAGGACTGTGTAATGTCACCATGGTTGTTTAATATATTTATAGATGGGTTTGTGAAAGAAGTAAATGCTAGGGTGTTGGGGAGAAGGGTAGGATTAAATTATGGGGAATCAAGTACAAAATGGGAGTTGACACAGTTACTTTTTCCTGATGATACTGTGCTTATGGGAGATTCTGAAGAAAAGTTGCAAAGGTTATTGGAAGAGTTTGGGAGGGTGTGTAAAGGTAGAAAGTTGAAAGTGAACATAGATAAGAGTAAAGTGATGAGGGTATCAAACGATTTTGATAAAATTGGATATTACATTGAAGAGAGGGAGTATGGAAGAAGTGAATGTTTTCAGATACATATTTGGGCGTTGGCGTGTCAGCGGATGGGTTCATGAAGGATGAGGTTAATCATAGAATTGATGAAGGAAAAAAAGGTGAGTGGTGCATTGAGGTATTTGTGGAGACAAAAAAACGTTATCCATGGAGGCAAAGAAGGGAATGTATGAAAGTATAGTGGTACCAACACTCTTGTATGGGTGTGAAGCTTGGGTTGTAAATGCTGCAGCAAGGAGGTGGCTGGATGCATTGGAGATGTCCTGTCTAAGGGCAATGTGGTGTAAATATTATGCAGAGAATTTGGAGTGTGGAAATTAGAAGGTGTGGAGTTAATAAAAGTATTAGTCAGAGGTCTGAAGAGGGGTTGTTGAGGTGGTTTGGTCATTTAGAGAGAATGGATCAAAGTAGAATGACATGGAGAGCGTATAAATCTGTAGGGGAAGGAAGGCGTAGTAGGGGTTGTCCTCGAAAAGGTTGGAGGGAGTGGGTAAAGGAGGTTTTGTGGGCGAGGGGTTTGGACTTCCAACAAGCGTGCATGAGTGTGTTAGATAGGAGTGAATGGAGACGAATGTTTTTTGGGACCTGACGAGCTGTTGGAGTGTGAGCAGGGTAATATTTAGTGAAGGGATTCTGGGAAACCAGTTATTTTTATATAGCCGGACTTGAGTACTAGAAATGGAAAGTACAGTGCCTGCACTTTAAAGGAGGGGTTTGGGATATTGGCAGTTTTGAGGGATATGTTATGTCTTTATATGTATATGCTTCTAAAGTGTTGTATCTGAGCGCCTCTGCAAAAACAGTGATTATTTATGTGTGAGGTGAAAATGTTGAATGATGAAAGTATTTTCTTTTTGGGGATTTTCTTTCTTTTTGGGTCACCGTGCCTCGGTGAGAGATGGCCGACTTGTTGAAAAAAAAGTGTGTACAGTTTTACCTATAAATATATTTAAAATAATGCAGTGTGTAGTAATACTTTAGTTCAGAAAAATGTGATTTTTTTTTTTAACACTTCGGTTGTTTCCTACTGAGGCAGTGACCCAAAAAGAATGAAAAACCCTGATGTGATATGTACATAAAATATCAGATTTTTTAACACACTGACTGTAGGGTAGGGTTACCCAAAAATGAGGAAACACATTTATCATTCACTCAAACACTGTCTTCCCAGATGTGTGCAACCTTCACAATTTAGATGACCCTCCTAACTGCAATATCCTCACCCCTCCTTTAGAGTGAAGGCAACTGTACTTACCACCTCCAAGACTTGAGACCAGCTAACCACTTTCCCTGATTCCTTTCACAAATGTTAAATTGCTCTCACTTCAACAGTATATCAAGCCATAAAAACGTTATGGCCCCACAAGCCTTTTGGGTGTCCAGCCCCTATTACTCAAAACTTCCTATATTGTCTCCCTCCATCTCTCCTAGGATGACCCTTCATCTCCATCCTTCCTCCCCAGATTTATATATCCTCCTAGTCATTCCATTCTGTTCCATGCTCTCTAAATTTCCAGACCACCTCAGCAACCTCTCCTCAGCCCTCTGAATCATACTCGTGGTAACTCCACAGCGTCCTCTAATCTCCCTGCTCTAAATTTTCTTTGTGATATTCACGCTACACATTGCTCTCAGACACCTCTACTGCCTCTAGTCTCTCTTCTGTAGCATTTACAGCCCATGCCTCACCTATAAAAAATGTAAGTACCACTTTACTCTGGTGCATTCCCCATTTTTGCTTCCATAAACTTCGTTCTTTCCACAGATGCCTCGACACACCATCTACCTTTTCCACCTCATCTGTTTTCTGGTTCATCACGTCTTTCATAGATACAACTCCCGACATGTCCACTTCCAAATTGCTGAATACTGTACATATCTATATCTAAATACATTTACATATGTATTCACTTCTTACATACTCCCTCCCTCAAATCTGATATCCAGTCTTTCATTGCCTAGATTTTTTTGTTACTCTCATTACATTGCTATTTTCTATGTTCACTTTTTATTTTCTTTTACACACCCATCCAGATTCTTCCACCAGCTTTTCTCTTCAGAATCTAACAGTAATACTTCACATCATAATATCAGCAATTGATATAAATTTGTTTTGATTGTACAATAGTTACATAAAGCATGATTATGAATTCTGTATTTTATATTAAAAGTCTTTATGGAATCTATATAAAGTTTTTTTTTTTTTTTTTTTTAACAAGTCAACCGTCTCCCACCGAGGCAGGGTGACCCAAAGAGAAAGAAAATCCCCAAAAAGAAAATAGTTTCATCATCATTCAACACTTTCCCCTCACTCACACATAATCACCGTTTTTGCAGAGGTGCCCAGAATACAACAGTTTATACGTATAAAAATACGCAATATATCTCTCCAAACTGCCAATATCCCAAACCCATCCTTTAGAGTGCAGGCACTGTACTTCTCATTTCCAGGACTCAAGTCCGGTTATATAAAATAACCGTTTTCCCGAATCCCTTCACTAAATATTACCCTGCTCACACTCAACAGATCGTCAGGTCCCAAATTCCATTTGTCTCCATTCACTCCTATCTAATACGCTCACGCACGCTTGCTGGAAGTCCAAACCCCTCGCCAACAACACCTCCTTTACCCCTTCCCTCCAACCTTTTTGAGGATGACCCGTACCCCGCCTTCCTTCCCCTACAGATTTATACGCTCTCCATGTCATTCTACTTTGATCCATTCTCTCTAAATGACCAAACCACCTCAACAAACCCTCTTCAGCCCTCTGACTAATACTTTTATTAACTCCACACCTTCTCCTAATTTCCACACTTCGAATTTTCTGCATAATATTTACACTGCACATTGCCCTTAGACAGGACATCTCCACTGCCTCCAACCGCCTCCTCGCTGCACCATTTACAACCTAAGCTTCACACCCATATAAGAGTGTTGGTACTACTATACTTTCATACATTCCCTTCTTTGCCTCCATAGATAACATTTTTTGCCTCCACATATACCTCAATGCACCACTCGCCTTTTTTCCTTCATCAATTCTATGATTAACCTCATCCTTCATAAATCCATCTGCTAACACGTCAACTCCCAAATATCTGAAAACATTCACTTCTTCCATACTCCTCCTCCCCAATTTGATCTCCAATTTTTCTTTATCTAAATCATTTGATACTCTCATCACCTTACTCTTTTCTATGTTCACTTTCAACTTTCTACCTTTACACACATTCCCACATTCGTCCACTAACCCTTGCAATTTTTCTTTAGAATCTCCCATAAGCACAGTAGTATCATCAGCAAAAAGTAACTTTGTCACTTCCCATTTTGTATTTAATTCCCCATAATTTAATCCCACCCCTCTCCCAAACACCCTAGCATTTACTTCTTTTACAACCCCATCTGTAAATATATTAAACAACCATGGTATATTTAATGTATATTAAATGATAGTCCTGCTGTACAGTGCAGCAAATCTCTGAAGATAATGGTCACCAAACACTTTCTTGCTCATATTATACCACTCTTTAAAATTATCTTTCTTGAAGTTAGCACTTTATTTTTCTTAAATCACCTTGTACATCCATTAAGTCTTTTAAAGTTAACCATTTGCTTGGTTATTTTACCTTTATTAAAATTGGTATAAGCTTGTAAACTATTGTCTCATTTTACAGAGTATTTGAAACGCGTGATTGGACATACGAGCAGTGGAGTTTGGAATCTCCTGTTAAGTCTGCAGCTTGGTCATGTTTAGGTCATTTGCTGCTATTTGTAACTCAAGATGACCCAGTCCTGTACTACCTTGGATTTATTCCTGGTGAGGATATTGGTGGAACACAGGTGGCTGCCCAAGTTGCTGACCTCACTCAAACTCTGGTCACTGATGAGGATGGTGAGGAAATTAGGTGAGACATTCCTAGTTGTGTATTATAGGTTATTTATTCAAAATTGTTAAGGACTAGTTCCATGAAATATAACATCTAATGACATTTTTTACACCAAGGAATGTACAGGTTCTAAACTGTTATCTTACCACAGCTCATTTTTTAAAGTCCAGTCCTATCTAAGGTATACTACCACAGCCCTCATGATATGACCACAACAGTCAGCTAACACCCAGGTACTGCTGGCTGAACAGGGGCAGCCATTGTAAAGAGAGTTGCCCATGCATCACACACCCAAGGAAGGAACCTGGGTTCTTCAGTTGTGAAGAGAAGTCACTACCATAGATATTGAAATCATATACAAGAAAATGAAAAGGTCTAAGAATGTTGTAAGATTGTAATTTTTTTTTTTTTTTTTTTTTTCAACAAGTCGGCCGTCTCCCACCGAGGCAGGGTGACCCAAAAAAGAAAGAAAATCCCAAAAAAGAAAATACTTTCATCATTCAACACTTTCACCACACTCGCACATTATCACTGTTTTTGCAGAGGTGCTCAGAATACAACAGTCTAGAAGCATACACATATAAAGATACACAACATATCCCTCCAAACTGCCAATATCCCAAACCCCTCCTTTAAAGTGCAGGCATTGTACTTCCCATTTCCAGGACTCAAGTCCGACTATATGAAAATAACTGGTTTCCCTGAATCCCTTCACTAAATATTACCCTGCTCACACTCCAACAGATCGTCAGGTCCCAAGTACCATTCGTCTCCATTCACTCCTATCTAACACGCTCACGCACACTTGCTGGAAGTCCAAGCCCCTTGCCCACAAAACTCCTTTACCCCCTCTCTCCAACCCTTTCGAGGACGACCCCTACCCCACCTTCCTTCCCTATAGATTTATATGCTTTCCATGTCATTCTACTTTGATCCATTCTCTCTAAATGACCAAACCACCTCAACAACCCCTCTTCTGCCCTCTGACTAATACTTTTATTAACTCCACACCTTTTCCTAATTTCCACACTCCGAATTTTCTGCATAATATTTACACCACACATTGCCCTTAAACAGGACATCTCCACTGCCTCCAACCGTCTCCTCGCTGCTGCATTTACCACCCAAGCTTCACACCCATATAAGAGTGTTGGTACTACTATACTTTCATACATTCCCTTCTTTGCCTCCATAGATAACGTTTTTTGACTCCACATATACCTCAATGCACCACTCACCTTTTTTCCCTCATCAATTCTATGATTAACCTCATCCTTCATAAATCCATCCGCCGACACGTCAACTCCCAAGTATCTGAAAACATTCACTTCTTCCATACTCCTCCTCCCCAATTTGATATCCAATTTTTCTTTATCTAAATCATTTGACACCCTCATCACCTTACTCTTTTCTATGTTCACTTTCAACTTTCTACCTTTACACACATTCCCAAACTCATCCACTAACCTTTGCAATTTTTCTTTAGAATCTCCCATAAGCACAGTATCATCAGCAAAAAGTAACTGTGTCAATTCCCATTTTGAATTTGATTCCCAAAAATTTAATCCCACCCCTCTCCCGAACACCCTAGCATTTACTTCCTTTACAACCCCATCTATAAATATATTAAACAACCATGGTGACATTACACATCCCTGTCTAAGACCTACTTTTACCGGGAAGTAGTCTCCCTCTCTTCTACACACCCTAACCTGAGCCTCACTATCCTCATAAAAACTCTTTACAGCATTTAATAACTTACCACCTATTCCATATACTTGCAACATCTGCCACATTGCTCCTCTGTCCACTCTATCATATGCCTTTTCTAAATCCATAAATGCAATAAAAACTTCCCTACCTTTATCTAAATGTTCACATATATGCTTCAATGTAAACACTTGATCTACACATCCCCTACCCACTCTGAAACCTCCTTGCTCATCCGCAATCCTACATTCTGTCTTACCTCTAATTCTTTCAATTATAACCCTACCGTACACTTTTCCTGGTATACTCAGTAAGCTTATTCCTCTATAATTTTTACAGTCTCTTTTGTCCCCTTTCCCTTTATATAAAGGGACTATACATGCTCTCCGCCAATCCCTAGGTACCTTCCCCTCTTTCATACGTTTATTAAACAAAAGTACCAACCACTCCAACACTATATCCCCCCCTGCTTTTAACATTTCTGTCATGATCCCATCAGTTCCAGCTGCTTTACCCTTTCATTTTACGTAATGCCTCACGTACCTCCCCCACACTTACATTCTGCTCTTCTTCACTCCTAAAAGATGGTATACCTCCCTGACCAGTGCATGAAATTACTGCCTGTTTCTTCCTTAACATTTAAAAGTTCCTCAAAATATTCTCGCTATTTACCTAATACCTCCATCTCCTCATCTACTAACTCCCCTACTCTGTTTTTAACTGACAAATCCATACTTTCCCTAGGCTTTCTTAACTTGTTTAACTCACTCCAAAATTTTTTCTTATTTTCATTAAAATTTCTTGACAGTGCCTCTCCCCACCTATCATTGCTCTCCTTTTGCACTCTCTCACACCAGTGGGATGTCCTGTCTAGGCAATGTGTGCGTGTAATATTATGCCAAAATATTCGATGTGGAAAATTAGTGAGAAGTGTGGATTTAATAAAAGCATTAGTCCAGAGGGTCCGAAGAGGGTTGTTGAGGTGGTTTGGTCATTTAGAGAGAATGGTCAAAGTAGAAATGACATGAAGCATTAAATCTATAGGAAGAAAGGTAGGGGTCGTCTCGAAGGTTGAAAGAGGGGGTAAAAGTTTATGGGGTGTGAGGGTGGACTTCCAGCAAGGTGCATGAGTGTTAATAGGAATGCATTGGAGGCAAGATACTTGGACTGACGATTTGGAGTTTGAGAGGGTAATATTTAGTGAATGGATTCAGGAAACCGGTTATTTCATATAGTTGGACTTGAGTCCTGGAAATGGGAAGTCAATGCCTGCACTTTAAACAGGGGTTTGGGAATATGGCAGTTTGGAGGGATAGTTGTGTATATTATACGTATATGCTTCTAACTGTTGTATTCTAGCACCTCTGCAAAAGCGTGATAATGTGTGAGTGTAGGAAGTGATTGAAGATGATGAAAGTATTTTCTTTTGGGGATTCTTCTTTTGGTCACACTGCTTGGTGGAGACGGCCGACTTGTGAAAAAAAAAAAAAGGAAATTCAGGGAAACCGGTTTATTGTCATATAGTCGGACTTGAGTCCTGGAAATGGGAAGTACAATGCCTGCACTTTAAAGGAGGGGTTTGGGATATTGGCAGTTTGGAGGGATATGTTGTGTATTTCTATACGTATATGCTTCTAAGCTGTTGTATTCTGAGCACCTCTGCAAAAGCAGTGATAATGTGTGAGTGTGGTGAAAGTGTTGAATGATGATGAAAGTATTTTCTTTTTGGGGATTTTCTTTCTTTTTTTGGGTCACCCTGCCTCGGTGGGAGACGACCGACTTGTTGAAAAAAAAAAAAAAAAAAAATACTCTGCTCTTCTTATAACACTTCTGCTTTGTAAAAACCTCTCATAAGCTACCTTTTTCTCTTTTATCACACCCTTTACTTCATCATTCCACCAATCACTCCTCTTTCCTCCTGCCCCCACCCTCCTATAACCACCAACATCTGCCCCACATTCTAATACTGCATTTTTAAAACTATTCCAACCCTCTTCAACCCCCCACTACTCATCTTTGCACTAGCCCACCTTTCTGCCAATAGGCGCTTATATCTCACCCGAACTTCCTCCTCCCTTAGTTTATACACTTTCACCTCCCTCTTACTTGTTGTTGCCACCTTCCTCTTTTCCCATCTACCTCTTACTCTAACTGTAGCTACAACTAAATAATGATCTGATATATCAGTTGCCCCTCTATAAACATGTACATCCTGGAGCCTACCCATCAACCTTTTATCCACCAATACATAATCTAATAAACTACTTTCATTACGTGCTACATCATACCTTGTATATTTATTTATCCTCTTTTTCATAAAATATGTATTACTTATTACCAAATCTCTTTCTACACATAGCTCAATTAAAGGCTCCCCATTTACATTTACCCCTGGCACCCCAAATTTACCTACTACTCCCTCCATAACATTTTTACCCACTTTAGCATTGAAATCCCCAACCACCATTACTCTCACACTTGATTCAAAACTCCCCACGCATTCACTCAACATTTCCCAAAATCTCTCTCTCTCCTCTACACTTCTCTCTTCTCCAGGTGCATACACGCTTATTATAACCCACTTTTCACATCCAATCTTTATTTTACTCCACATAATCCTTGAATTAATACATTTATAGACCCTCTTTTCCTGCCATAGCTTATCCTTCAACATTATTGCTACTCCTTCTTTAGCTCTAACTCTATTTGAAACCCCTGACCTAATCCCATTTATTCCTCTCCACTGAAACTCTCCCACCCCCTTCAGCTTTGTTTCACTTAAAGCCAGGACATCCAGCTTCTTCTCATTCATAACATCCACAATCATCTCTTTCTTATCATCTGCACAACATCCACGCACTTTCAGACTTCCCACTTTGACAATTTGCTTCTTCTTATTCTTTTTAGTAATCTATACAGGAAAAGGGGTTACTAGCCCATTGTTCCCGGCATTTTAGTTGACTTTTACAACACGCATGGCTTACGGAGGAAAGATTCTTATTCCACTTCCCCATGGATATAAAAGGAAAAGTAATAAGACCAAGAACTATTAAGATAAAATCAAAGAAAACTCAGATTGTAATACCTATTATAAAGAAAACAGTGAGGGATGGTTTAAGAATTTGTTGACAACAAAAGATGAATGCTATAATGCAGTGTAATGAGTAAATATAGATGGGCCCTTTACAGTGCTTTGCTTTACAGCATTTTGCTATTACAGCAGTTTTCATTTACAGTGGATCCCCGACATTCGATGGCATTGACATTCGATAAATCTGACATTCGATGCATTTTAACACAAAAATTTC